ATACCAAAAACAACAAGATTTTTTAGTTTTACATCATGTTTATTTTTCGTTACGAAAAATATTTGATTCTATGTATAACAAAACAATATAAAAAAACAAAGAGTTTTTTTGTAGATAAATTTTTATTGAGTTTATTTTATTTTTTAGTTTTTACCAAAGTTTTAATCAATTGTAATAAAAATTATCACTTTAATACTTCACACTCTACTGCTATTATCGTAACCTCCGTTAGACAAAAAAAAAGTTGGAAAAGTCGTTTCAACAAATTAATAGCAATCGATTGAGGAGAAAAATGTTAGGGTTGCATTAATCCTAAAAAAGAGTTATTAGCGAAATTAAAAATTGTTTCCGAAATTCTGGTTAAATACTGGCTTATTGATTATCAATTTTGTGAAAAATGTAAAACATTTTTCAGGTAAATCTTTAAATACCTATATGGAAAAAACAATATCTTTTTATTCAATAAATTATTGACATTGCTTTTATTATTTAATGTTAAGCGTTTATCGCGAAAAATTATTCCGATAATGGTAAAAATAAAATAAAAATGGCAAAAATGATGTAAATATAATAAGATATAAAAATAATTAAGAGAAAACACAATTTAATATTTAAACAGTGAAATTGATGTATGAATAATCTATACTTTTACTTGTTTAATTTGCTATACATCAATGTAGGTCGAAGAAATAATAAACAAGTTTTATGTCATACATTTGTATTTTCATATCCGAACTTTCTAATCGTCAAGTATGTTACTAATTAATTGATGATTTAAGTTGAGAAATATAGCCACATATTGAACAATTAATCTTTCTTTAGCTATAACTAAAAGTTTTGATAACAAAGGATATTATGACAATAAGACAGAGAATATTAATTTTAGTCTTTTCTGTCACGAACATCTAACCCTTATTTTCTATCAAAAGAAATGTCTACTACTCAGATCTCATGCAAGAAAAAAAAACTTTTGAAAGTTTTATCTACTTAAACTTGGTTTTATGCTATTGTCTTCCTTTTGTTTCACTTTCTTATCGTTTTCATTTTTAAAATGTTTCTGGCGGGCATTTTATCTTACCTTTATCGCTTAATTTATATAAAATCTAATTACATCATTATTTAATACTATTTTATTTCGTTTACTTTAAATTTGACCTTAAATTCCTTTAAAAAATAAAGTTTGAACTGAATTAATAAAAAAACATTCAATAATAATGAAAAGTTTATTCATTCATGCCACTTGAACATGAAATTATTGTAAATCATTTATTTTAATATTCTTAACACAAGACTTGAAAAATTAATATAGACAATGTAATAAAGTTAATGAACTTAATGGCATACATATATCAATGTAATTCATCAACGAAATTAGATTAATTAGTGAATATCAAAATTTAAAAATGTAAATTGTTAAAATTAGTAAAGATTGTTTGAAAAAATTGAATATCAGTACATTATCAAAAATTGACTTTTTAATATAGATATAATAATTATACAAATTCTGAATCAACAATGAACTCAACATATTAGGTATAGTAAAACCTTCAATTGAATGATGGTTCTTGTAATTTCATTCTGACAATATTGCTCTTCATATAACACTATTGATCAAGATCAAACTTCCTTGATCAATATCAAGTTCCCTTGACACTTCAATATTCAATAAACCAACCAAACAATTATTGTTTAACCTTCCAACTTACTAGCTAACTACTCATCACTTATGATTACTTATTCAAGCACTTAATAGATCAATGAACCTGACATAACAGTGCCATTAAACTTATTATTTATTCCATTTTCAAATGAATTTCCAATTTACTAGAAATTAATCAATGGATACTTTTTCTTGTGTTCACCAATAATATACTTTCTTCAATGTTTATCAACTATCATCGAAATAGCATAATCAAATATATTGCTTAGAGCCTAATCAATGTCGACATTTGTTTTCATCAGTTTAAAACAACACTGAAACCTGTTAGTGCTTGGGTAGGAGAGCATGACATTTATTTTAGCAGGGTTTAGATAGGAATTTAACAGTCGTATCAAATAACAGTAGTCAATATCATAGCCATTAGATTAAATGAAACAAAATAGAAATATTTATTCAAAATTTAAATTAACAAGATTTTAAAGACTAAACTCATCGCGATAGCTAAATGTAATTGGTCGGCAGGCTTTGGAGAAATTAGCAGTTAACAAATTAACACTATTTGGGGAAGCGTGAACCCCCTGCTTGATTTTCTCTCCCATGAGGCTGTCAGAATCACCCAACGATATTTAGTTACAATTGAAATACGAGATTTGCCCAATGGGTATTACCTATTGGCTACTTGCAACTGTAAACCTATTGATTATCTGTATGCATTCCTACCAATCACCTGTCCATTTGCTGTTTGATTCATTATAATTACAGTAGCGAAATTTACGACGATTCAAGACCTACCCACATGTCACTCGTGACCTGGCCTTCATTTGAAGCTCACACTGTCCACGCGTTCTTTATTCTGAAATGCAAACAAGTCTTATCAAAGAGGGTTTGTTTCTCATTTTATCTCAAAATTCTCCGATTATTCACTTTAATAATTTTAAAGCTAGCTGTAATTACATCTGTTCTAATTAACTTGAATCTTTTTTAAAAAAAGTGTGGAAAAGTTCATTTAAAATGAATAATTTCAGGGTAAAATCCCCTGAAATTCATTAACTCGACTAAGTATACTAATTAGCAACTCATAAATACTCTGACGTATTTCCATATGGTACTCAGGCCATCAAAAAGTTGCTTGATGTAATTATGAGTACATCATTGTTGAACAAAATTTCTTTTAATGCAAATTTTTTACAAAAAAATATGCTGATGTAAAAAAAAAGATGTTAAAAGAATTAAGATCATTGGTCTTCATCTCTCCCCAACATATTTATTATTTAGCTATAATAATCAAGAAATTATATCACAATTCAGGTCAGTAGTTTGCATAAAAACTATCACTCAACAATCAATTGGGGCAATATTTTTTGATAGATTTGTGAAACAACTAAATGAGAACGATCAACACAATCGATGGCGATGTGTAATTTGGAAGTCTGCAGCAACTAATCAAATTGATCAGTTTAGATGAGTTGGGCAATGTTGAGCGAATTGTTGTCTTTAGAATTAAGCCAATCGTGCAAGAGTAATACCCGAAAACGTAGATAAATAATCCCAGGTGAGTAGAAGTAATTAGATATATTCGCTAGAGTAGCTTTCCTCTAAAATGATTCAATGTAGAAGAATTGATTGCATTGCAGGATCCAATATAGAGTCCACAATTTTGGTAAATGCTAGTCGATGTATCTACTCTTCTATTAACAAATGAGAGAAAATAGTTTGAGTGGTTATTGTTAATCGTAATTGTCCATTATTCAACCACTTTGAGGTTTTGTTTTCCTACTGGTGCAAACTAGTCTCGTTGAAAATTACGTGTTTTCCCAAATGCGTTGAAATATATCTAGGACACATGTGACGCATTTCTCGTCATTATATTTCTACTATGTCATGAACATTAATCCCATTTATAACGCTTATTATTTATGATTATTCATTTTATTGTCTTCAATTAGACAAAATATACACTATTAAAATAACAGTAGAGTTATGATACGTCGATTGACGCAGTACGTTGGCCAAATGTATTTTGACATGCCCAGTTTTGTTATATTATTTTTATTAAAATAACAAAATTTAATCAAACTTTATAAACATTTATGGTAAAAATTAATATTTTTTCTGAACAGTGACAGTCTCGTACCCTTTTCTGTTTACAAGTAGTACGTTGAAAATGAAATTAATAAGTCATTTGAATTTTTCATTTAATAGTCTAAGAGACTCTTACCTATTTTAGCCTATCTACTACTAACTTCAACCATTTGTCTTGTAGAAATTACAATCTTATACTAGCTATTTTTGTCTTATAAATAACTTATTAGTTTCACTTAATCTGTCCATGAGAAAAATATAGAATAATGTTTTAAAAGATTACTTTGCAATCAATAATCGATTTTTCAAATGAATAAATATTTATTAAATCAAACATATAACTCACAGCAATAATATGTTTGGAAATACTAATGAAATATTTCAACGGAAATATTCAAATCAGTGATTTGCCAGATCCAATTAATCTTTTATTGGATACGATACTTTTTTCTGGCAACTTTTCTATCAGTATGGATGCCGATTAGATAGAGTAAAAATCAATAAAATATAATTCATTATTTTTTGCTAATGAAAAGAAGATTTGTTGATCATTTTGGGAAGGATTTTTTGTTTAAATATGAGAATATGAACAATATTTTTATTAAATATCTACACTGCCATACAATTGGAAATATTGTTCCAAAAAACGAGGTTTGTAGTGTACTGGTTTTAATTTATCATACACTGAAAATCCAAGTGCATTCTCGTTACACATCTGAACGTGTTAAATATGACGTTGCTCATTTGATTAACATTGTAATTACTTTTCACACACTTACACTGAAAAAAATCATGCTTAATTGAAGTAAGATTTCCTAATATTTAATATAGAATTTCAACTATAACCATAACATGTTAACTATAAATAAATCCTTTTTTCAGTGTAGAAACACATTAAAAGTGACTACAATGTTAATCAAATGGGTGATGTTATATTTAACACGTTTAGATGTGTATCGAAAATACACTTAGATTTACAGTGTAGATATTGTTTATGATAACGTTAATTATGAGGGAAAATAATCAAGTTATAATATTTAGTAAGCTTTTATTTATCAGATAATATTTACATATAATACATTTCGTGTTCCATAACATTAATAAAACTCTATGAAACAGAAGTGAAAAAATTCAACAATATTATACATTGCTTTGAGCTAATATTAAATAAAGTAAAAAAATCAAAAATCATGCTTCAGGTACATGAAAATCTGTTAACAACTAAATAACAATAGATATAAAACAAAGAAATGCAAAATAATACTTCAGTGTTATCGAACGTATTCTTGTTGAGAATAATAATTGCCATCAGTTGCATCAGTATAATGAACATGATGATCATGAACTTCAGTTTGGGTATGAGCTTTTGTAGTGTACGTAGCTCCCGTATGATCATTTTTTCCAGAAGTATGGACGTATGCGTGAAAACCGTCTTTGTCTGCTTTGTAAGTAACGATGCGAATACTACCACCAGGTTCTTTTACACTGTATTCACCTGACACACTTGTACCTGTAACATTAATGGATGACATTCAACAAGTGTCTAGTTTACGACGACATCATTAGAATTTTAAGATAGCAAATCCGGTTTATGAGCAGATTATCTGCTTACTTTTGCTGCGACTTTCACTTACCATCTCGCACTTCTTTTTGTCCGTGAAAGTCCCCAGTATGATGATCTTCAACACCATAGGAGAATTCGTATTTTGGATGGGCCACATAGTCCAAAGTGTAAGGATAGTGGTGAGTATCATCGTGGTCAGTGTGGCTATGGCCTAAAAGGTGATTGCTGTCATGTTGGTAGCCATTCTCGAGGTCAGGAATTTTAATTTCAAATTCAGGTCCTTCAACTGGTCCGTGAAAATGCATGAATGAGCTTGCAACTGGTAGATGATGATCATTATTTTCTTCTACATCTAGATGAGGAATATACGCAGCCCGTGTGGTGTGTAATATGATACAAAGGACATAGAATCTTGGTAACAACTTAGCTTGTAGCTGTAATCAACAAAGAGTTAAAGACATAAGTATTGTCACGCTTTTATTGTTTTTAAATTGAGTCATTTGGAATTTTTTAATAACCTGTTATTTGAACAAAGAATTTCATGGAAAGTTACGTTAGTAAGTAGCCATTTTAATAAATTACTGTAATTGAACTAAAAATAGTTTAATAACATGGTAATTTATAAAGTTTTAATTAACACTTTTAATCGATTTATTTATAAACGTTATTTAATTATCTTTCCATAAGTGAAGGTGTTACTCGTAAAGGAAAATGAATTTTGTTTAATAATATTAGTTTCCTTTGAAGTTAACACGTTATTGAAAATTTTCCCTTAAATATATAGGTTAGAAATGTAATTTATTTTTTCTGTGTTTATATAAATTCTGACTTAATTTAGTCGCATTGAGTTTAATTAAGAAATTTTCTTGAATTTTTTTTACTTGTTATTCACCATAAGTAATTTAAAATACATAAAAATACTTAAGAAAGTTCTCTGTAACGTTATGACACTTTTTATTGCTTTGCAAATAGTTCTTTTTTAAATTAATTAATTTTATAAAACATTTGAATTAAATTTTTATCCATGAATTATTCTATATTTGCACTACTGAATTAAGAATTCTTGATTTGCAATTAAGCTCCAAAGGCTGGATGAAGAAGTTATTGAATTTTTCAACGAATGTTTATTAATAACACATTTAATAATAAATCACACTGTTTCTAAAAAAAATGGCTGATTGAATACTAGAAAAAAAGCACTGTATACTCCAATTATTTGTTGAACTCAATAAACGATTGATTGATTGTTCTTTTACCTTGAGAATCATCTTTTCCGTAATAGACTTAAGGTGGTCAAGTAAGAACTGCAACTTTCGAACGTTCTTCACGGCTTTTATAGCAGCTGACTATTAATCTTCTGCATACACACATCAATTACATATACTGAAATCTGTTTGTTCGATTTTGATGACAGAGGAGGGGAATAGATGCTTTCTCACCTGCTCATCATTTCTTTTTTTCTGTTATTTCTGATAGTAATTCTATTCTTTTCATTTACATTTTCAAAATTATTGCATATTAATTATTCATTTTAATGAAGAGACGGAAACATTTTGATATTTTAGAAATTTCAAATTCCTAGTGTAGTGGCTTGGTACGTAATTGCTCTTCAAAGAGTAATCTGACTTTAGATGTATACTTTTCAAATAGTTTAAGCACATTACTCTTTGACGTTTTACATTTCATCCTCATGTTTAACGAGTTTTGAATGTTTGATGTCCAACATGTACTAACCTTACATATTTATAAAAATTTTTCACACCTTTCAAGAGGTGTATTGTAATTAAACTCGTCACACGAATTTGCTATTTTCTATTAAAATATTAATTTCTATTGAACTCGATTTAATTTAAATCAGTATATTTACTGACAAAAAATTTTTTATGAAAATGGCAAATGTAGGAAAAGGGAAGGCAAAGTGAAACGCTCGAGAAAATGTACTAATTTATTTGAAAAAATTTAAAAACACTTATTGCACTTCTTGTTAATTAATTTTTCAATTCATTAATGCATCAAAAATGTTTAATATTTGTTAATATATTAGTTACTTTGTTAATTTACGTTTTTACTTGGTGTTCTACTTTACCCCACCTTCACCTAGCTAGTAATAAGAAAGAAAATAGATTTATTAAAATAATATTTATTTTGTTAGAGTGACTATTTAATGTAATTATTAACTTCCCTTTAGGAAGTTATTGTAATTGGGTCGATTGGTGAAATTTAAATTTTCATTAAATCTCCACGTTTCAAGATATTTGCAAGCATACTGACATATTTTTAGAATGATGTGTGTGTACGTACGTATGTACGGACGTCAGCATTTTTTTCGTTTACGATATCTTAAAAACGAATCAAGAGATCAACTTCAATCAAAATTAATTCGAAAAATATTATTATAAAGAAGATCTGAAAGAAATTTTAACGAATTCGATCGAGCCGTTTTTTTTTTATAACAAAATAACTAAAAAAAAATGAAAAGATTAGCTATTTAAAATACTTTTAAGCCAAACAATAACAATTTCATTTGAAAATAAAGTCGATATTGACTAGACATTATTGTTCACAACCAAATATGACTCTTAACAATTACGCATTGTTTATAACAATATGAATTTGTTATAAACAATTGAAAATTGTATTTATCGATTAACTGATGCGTATATCACACGCATTTGGAAGCTTTCAACAAACATTGATTATAACTATTTAAATTCGTTATAAACAATTACTAATGGGAAGTTCGTCGTGTTAGCACAGACAAAGTGTGCTTAGACCTATTTTTTTTATCAAATATTTATTCGTTTTAATTTGGTAGAATAAACAAAAAATTATTTTCATTTAAAGAACTGATTTTTACTAATGCAGAAAAAGAATTTCGTTGATGATAAAATGTTCTTCTCTCTGCAAGCATAGTTATTCTTTGAGAATTTTAAAATTTGTAAACAATCTTATTTTATTTTTCAAAACTCATATTTATTCATATTAAATTGATCCAATAGAAAAACCTTGCTGGCATGGTCACTAGCACTTTCTTGCATGGCATTTTTTCAAAAAAGAAAAAGTGGAAAATGCATATGAAAAATAAAGTAAAAAAAAAAACAAAAAAGAAATATCTTAGCATATAACACTTTATATTCAATACAGAATACTATAGTCGTTTTCAAGTTTTTTCTCACCCTAAAGATTTCAAGTTATGTATCTGTCTTTTACTTCTTCTATTACAGATGCTGTTGTATTAACTTTCAATTGACAGTCTAATAATCAATATTTTCATCTTGTGAGAAAAATGAAAAATATATTTATAAATAAAACAATGGTTACTTGAATTTGAGTGAAAACTAGAGCATGATAATCTCTAGAGGCTGAAGAACCTCTAGAACATGCCAAAATTTATTGCCAATAATACAAAAATCACTAGAAAAGCTTTTTTACTTCTATTTTATACCTCGAATTCATGAGAAAATTTTATTTTACCTTCTCTATACTAGCTTTATTTTATTAACCCTAAAAATATTTAACATTTACAAAAAAAGCTCTACATATGAAAAGCTCTGTTTCTAATTAGTCCATTATCCTCAATCAAACATAGTGTAAAGTATAAAAATAAAATAATTGGAGTCTTTCTTTATCATTGGTACAAATTGCAAAAAAAAAACCATTCCAGATATTCATTTAGTTCCTTAGATGTTAACTTGAGGCGTATAAACGTCTTTAAGATCTATCCTAAACCGAAAATTCAAATTAATATTGAAACTCGTAGTGCTTTAAATTAAACTACTATGCACTTAGATTTGTAGGATGCAACTGAAAACATGTTTCCATCATTTCAAAAAGCAGTATGAAAATATACATTTGGAGGCGAAAGAACATATCATCTCTCGAATAGGGAAGTTTTACTTAAGTTTCGAGTCGTTTACTTGTCGGTTGGGTTTACGAGTATATACGTACATATATATTCACGGAAAAGTGGCGACGACGAGGCGAGAGTAAGAGAAAAATGTTGACTCTTTCACGCGTGAGATGGTTAAACTCGATGTATAAGCGTCGACATCATAAAACTCCGTACACGAACGACCCCAGGGTAGTCGATGACTTCGCTTCGTACACCAATGAATGTGCTTCGTACTTTGCTGACAGGAAGATGAAACTGTTTCGCTTCAGTCGTTCTTACGATCCTTGCCAGTTTTCACCTTATCTTGTACCTAAAATAGTCAAGACTATTCCATAAAATTTATGCCATTGTCTTCTTTTTTACGGATTATCATTCCCTAGATACTTTTTAGTCAACAAAAAAATTAAAATACAAAACAATTGCGTGACATTTCTAATTCAATGTTTGATTGAAAAAAAAGCAAAAAATATTATTGCTAGACAAATAATAAATTTCCAAGGAAAGTGTAAATTTAACATAACTAGATTACACTTTAGATACCATCAGTTTGTGAGATTTTTTATTTTCTATTGCACGTAATTCACATATTTTACTTAATTCTCAACCATCTCTACACGACATTCGATTTGATTGATGTAAATTTAATCACCATCTTATGTAAAGATAATATTATATGGATAACATAAATATTTAAATTAAATACATCTCATTTTTATTTAAATTCTACTTTCAAGTGAGGAATAATTATAATATAATATGTTATGAGGTTTTTTATCGTGAGGAAAATATAATAGTTTCTCCAATTTTCATTCTATAAACACTATTTATGCTAAAACTTTATAATCATACGTATAAAAGATAATGATATTTTACAAATAAAAATGTTTGTTTTAATTACTCAAATAATTTTTTTTCATTCCGTTTACTCATTACTCTTAAACAATCAGTAATTTTGAATATTTCGAATTAAATTAGATGTTTAGTTTCAAACAAGGAGCACATTTTGTGAAATAATAACATTAATCATTTGAAACAAAAATTGAAAATAAATTTCCAACATGTGTAAAATGTCTTAGTTACGTCAGTTAAATTCATAAAAGCCAAGCATAATGGTACATAAATTGGGGAAAGTCAGAGGTGTAGTGATGTTACATTTTCATTGCTGGTAACTCTCAGTCAATTTCGCGAGGAGTCGTGAAAAAACACGATGCATAACGGCACTTTTACCATACACATACAGCGTAAAGAGGCTCTTCGTAATTCTTACTTGTGTAAATTTCTGTCCACAGAGTGTCGAGTCATCGTACGTGCTGCGTATCTCATGAATTTAGCTTTTTTTATTCAACTTACGCCAGAATAACGTGCAGTCGTGCGGAAAAAACGGAAATACTGGGCTTCCGCATATTATAGTTTTTTCTTTATTCTAATTTTCCTTTCTCTTCAACATTCAACATCATTGTCATATAAAATTACATCAATTAAAATAACCACTAAATTTTTCTTTTATCTCTTATCACAGAATATCTATTAATTAAGACAAAAAATAATGAATCTTTGCTCTCTTAAAATTAATTAAATTCCTAACCATTTTAATTATTTCAAAAATTTATTCAAATACATGTTTGACTTTACTTTAAAATGTTTTTTTTTCTCTATTTTATTTTAATCGTACATTTTTTTATTCTCACATTTTTTATCATCGTTTTTTCACCGTGTTAAGTTCAACGAAGCGCATGGTTATAGATAAAACAATTGATGCATGAAAATCAGCGAAAAATATGCAGTATAAGAAGGAAAAATAATGTTTGATTTACAGTAAATAATGATAAATCAAATTTAGTTTTAATTAATTTTACCGTTAATGAACTGAAGATTATTTGAAAACTACGAAATAAATATCTAAAGACGATCCTAATGTACTTGGAGAGTAATTTAATCGATCTTCTCATCCACCGTTTAATTATCTCCGTACACCATCTGTCAAGCTATAGAGAACAAGCTGCAACCTCTAGGGTTGTCGTCTGACTTTTTGTGAACCTCTTCTAGTAACTGATGCCTCAACAATTGAATTAATGAACCATTATTTATTCGATCGATCTAGACGTGATAATATAATGCTAATTAACTGTACTTATTTTAATCAAAAAATTACGAATACTCATTTATTTTCTCTGGATTCAAATGTTTCTTGATTAAATAAAATCTGAAATCTTCTCTATTTGCATAAATTCAATTGTTTATTTTTATTTTTGTAAATTGATTCTTAGTGACAATTTACTATTTAGAGGCTCTAAAAGTCAACAACACAATTGCTCCCTAAAGTATGAGTTTACACGTGAGTGAATCAAAGTTCAAGATCCAAGTGACTCATTTGCACTTGACACGCTTGTCGAGACATAACGCTTTCACTGTAGATGCAATACAAGAGAATATGTTGACTACGTGGTCTTTATTAAACCTGTTGATCGAATATGATCGTATTTATTTTGAACTCAACCCTTATATGTAGTATCCACTTTTATTCATATTTGTTTGATAAATATATCATTAATGAAAAAAATTATTTTTGTTTTTAATGGATTAATAGACTTTAATTATTCTAAATTATTTCCGCTTTACGGTAAAGCTTTTTCATAATTAATTTTTACGATAAACTACTACCTCGTAAATGGTAAGTAATTGACAAAAATAGTCTTTAATAGATTTCATATGGAGTAAATTTTACTTAAAGAGCTTTTAAAAACTTTTGATGAAATTAAATGTAAAATATCAAAAGGATACTCGAGGTACATACTTTTCAATAATTCATTAAAATTTTCTTCAATTAATTGTCATTGGAGATGACAATTAAATTAGGATTTTAATTTTCATGAATCACTTTTTTGAAATTCTCGAAATTTACTACTATCGACGAGTTGCCATTTATAAACACTTTCAATTAAAAAGAAATACCTTGGATGTGTGGATACATTATTAACAAACTTTTACTAGACATCATTAAACTACTATAAATGAACTATTTTAATAAAAATTAATAATGTATCTGACCTAAAAAAAAGTAATTGAACCATTATACCTACTTATAGGTCGAAGTAATTTTTTATTCACAGAATTGAAAAAGAAATAAAACAAACTTGAAAAGGATTTATCAATTGAGGTATTCATTACTCATTCTACTCTGCCATCTTTTCTACTCTTCTCCTGAGTTTCTCTCGGCAATATCAATTTTACTACGCACAGATGAAAGAATAGTGTGCTACTACTCTACTCTAGAAAAAAAATCAAGTATCTGTATAATTCGATAGTCGTAACAATTTTGAAAAGCTTCTCAATCAAGTGACCTGAACGTTTAGAAAATTTTCATTTTTTCAATTATTTTAAAATATCGACAAATTCGAATTTATTTCTAAAAATACAATCTCTTAAATTTTTCCAGTGACTTCAGGGATTATTAACCGATTTTTCAGTATCATCAGGTAATTGAGAAAGTACATTTTTTTTTATCAAAAATGAATAATTTAAATAAATGCACAATATTAAAGTAATACGCATAAAATATTAATATTCTATTTTATTAACATTTTTTAAAACTTGAAAAATGTAAGTTTAATTATTAACTTCCTATTCAGAAAATATAGTAAAATATGTGTTTTAATTTCTATTTTTTTTTTTCGAAAACGGTATTTGAACATTTTTCAATGTAATTAACGTTTCTAAATCTTCACATTAACTTTAAAACAGCGAAGCCATCATGAGTCCACGTAATTTTTTATGCTTTTTTGACGATAGAAAATATATTTTAATAATTAATTATTTTTCTAGAGCTCTCGTACGGTGAATCGATGAGCATAATTTTTTTATGATTAATGATTAAGATGGTTAAAAATAAAATTTAATGTTTATAATGCAAAAAAGAGGTAAAGAAATGAAAAATATCTGAGTTTAAGTAACGACGATAATGAAAACAATTTATTTTCAACAGCAAAAAAAATAAATGGTGGCGAGACGACGACAAGTCGACGTTGGGTTCGTAACGATTAATAATGATTCGTATCACAGACCACTGGTGGTTAGCAGTGATTTATCAACTATGCCCGTGGCCGCCGTAGGTACCGCCGGAGTGGTCGTTTCCTCCGGAATTGTGTACTATAGCATGAAAACCACCATGATGGTCCGCGTGGTACTTGACGGTTCTGATATTGCCACCAGGCTCGTGAATCGTATATTCCCCTTCTACGTCTTTACCTATACGTCAAAAAATATAAAGTCATTTAGCAAAAGCTTTTTTTAGTATTTTATGAAAGAAACTTTTTCTTTTTTTGTATTTTTAAGTGACTAAAGGATATTTTTTTGTTATTTTTTTTTTTACAGTAAATCTTCTTACCGTCTCGATGCTCTTTTTGACCATGACGATCTTTTGTGTGTTCATCCTCAACTCCGTAAGAAAATTTGTAGTACGGATGAGCTTTGTAGTCTTCTACTTCGTGACCATGTTTATCTTTCCACGTTACTTTCACGGCATCACCTTTAACCGGACCATGATGGTGTTGAAATGAATGAGCTCTATGAGGAGCTGCTATAGAGCTTTCTATTACGGCGAATAGAAGCATCCAGGTAACCAATATCTTCGAAATAGATTTAAAAAGAGAAAATAATGTGAGAAAAATTTTATAGAAAAGTTTCTATTGAATTCTATCAACTATTTTTATTCAATAAAGTATTTTTCTACTCTAATAATAACTTTCTTGTGACAACAAAATATTTTAAGTAATTAATCATTTTTATTCGAAAAATAAATAAATTATGTTCAGTTATTTATAAAATAATAACACACACCTTTAATACCATCTTGATATTTGGGAAATTAATCAATCTCGAGTCGGTAAATCACTGGCTTTGAGTCTCTTGTTAGAGAGCAATCTACCTTTTATACTGAAATTTCCTATTGCCCACCAATTACGTGACTACTTTTTTAAGGGAATGAACAAACATTGTCACGCTAACTCACGGTTGATTGATTGTTCAATGTCCGAATCAATTTTTTTTCCTCACACTCGATAGTACCTTTTTTCGCTGACTATTGAACTAAGGAAAAACTATTGAAATTTCTACTCGTTATTGATTAATTTGGTAACACCCTCGCACACACTTTTCTTGTTGGGAAAGGTTATCTAATTTCTCTTACTTTTTTTTCCATTCTCATTAATCTTAACTATAAAAATTTCATAATACATATTTTATAATACTTATTAAACTATCGCTATTACTTCAACTATTACTCTTAATATTTCAAAAATATTATTTTTTTCTTATTTATTCAATGAGTAACATTCATTTAAAAAATAGGCCTGGACTTATTTTGTCCCTTGACGACGAACTTCCCATTCATTGAAATCCGTAATTTTTTCATCTTTTATTTTTTTTGCAACTTATTTTTACACCCTTTTTGTTATAAAAAAAACGGCTGAACCGAATTTGTTTGAACTTTTTTCAGATGTTCTTCATTGCATTATCTTTAAAATGAAATTTGTCTGGAGTCGATATCTTTAGTAGTTCTTGTAATATCCCGGATGAAAAAAAAACCTGACATACGCACGTACATATATACATAGCTACATCCATTTTTAAATCTTCTAATATGCTTTTAAGTGTCTCAAATGGTTTAGACATGATTAAATGACGAATTTCAAAAATTGACCCCATTGCAGTAATTTCCTGATGGGAATTTAATAGAAAATTTCAATAATGAAACTATTTAAACTGGTAGAATAATTGAATTATTTTATTTTCCCATTAATTGCAGTTCAACAAATAATTTTAATAATAAAGCTGATAAAAAGAAATAAATATTATGAAAGCTTTACTAAATTGAATTGAATATTGTTGAAATAAATTCGGTTATAAACAATTAATAAAATATCAAAATTCTTTTGAATAACTTATACTCTAATTATATTTAATAAAAGTGTAATAATATAAGCCTAGGTTAGTCTATAACAATCAATTTATCCTTCTATTTCTCGTGGCATTATGATAACTACCATTATGATAATTATTAGCCGTGATTTATTTAGAAAATCCTTTGTTGAGTTTGTAACAAAAGATTGTCATCAGAGTGGAATTCAGTTAGTTATAGAAATGTGTCAGAAAGATAAGCGAGGAAACGAGATACTCTGAGCGAATGGAAACCAAGCGTGCATATTTGAATTGAATATGTAAAGTACACACATATACAGAATTCCATTCGAATGCCAGAAACCGCGAGATGAACTTTCGTAGTCGCGGATTCTGTACATTTATATGCTGGTTATCGTTAAAGGCAGCGACTCGATAAAGCTGCTTTTCAAGAAGCTTCGCGCCGTGCTCCTCAAAGACACACTTTTCTCTGTGGACTTGAAGATTTCTTGAGGCCCGAGCCAAAAATCCTAGCAACGCCGTTATTCAACTCTGGCTTATTGGTCTGACATTTCCTCGTGGACCCAAGTAAAAGCTCTCGACGAACTTGTCGAGCGTTTCTTCCTCCTCTTAACCTACCCTAGAACCTCCTTGTTCGTCTCCTTTGCACGAAATCCACGAAGCGTGCTTCGTCGACCGTGTGTCGTCTCTCTGGCTTCCAAAAGCCTTTGGTCTGCTCTTCTCGACCTTTTTTCGTCTCTTGCTATTTTTTTCTCCTCTCTGTCGCACGTGAACTGACTACCGAGTAGAAATTTAACGGTAAAGTTAGTCGATCGTACGTGACTTTACATGTTTGCGTCTCGACACTGTCTCCGCTCCTAGGTTTCCCCATACTTACACCCAGTTTAATCTTCCTTGTCCCCATCATATTATGCAAACGTTGTGCTTTATAAATACCTAGGTGCTATTGCATTTTCTAGAAGCATCCATACAATCTCAAAAAACAAAAATACAAAGCATGTAATGAGAAAAGAAAATGAGATAGCACGGATGTCCAACTTCTCTCGTATGAATTAAGCTATTTATAGTTGATGAGTAATCGGCTCAGGTTTGAAAACGGAAACTAGCTGTGTAATTTCCGCTATTCAAGCTTGCTATAGTTAGCTTTTGTTAGTGGTCGAGATACTGAGTTGATCAATTGCTATACAAAAACAATCGATATATGTATTCTTCTCGAGCTTACTCAATAATTCCCATCATTAGTATAATAATACCATGCTTTATCTACCCGATTTATCTGCCGAGTGGATAAACTCGATCGGTTTACAGCATATTGAGTAGTTTGAAGTGGGAATTAATTTTCAATAGGGCTAAAATAAACTACAAAGCATATTTGTCCATTTATTCATGTTCAAGAATATTTTTTATATCCATACACTCTTATATTAACAGACAATTATTCCATAAACATCGATAGATGTGGTTACATATTTTAATTAATTGTTTCAAACACTTCACTTGCTATAATTCATTTTGAACTTTACTTGCTTTGAAATTGTCCAATCTATATTATAATATATTCCACTAAAATATTATAAATTTATGATTAGCTTAGTTATTTAATTATTATATAATGAGTTAAAAGCTAAGTTCAAATACCGTGCTTCAAATGCGTTTATTTCAACTATTAATAAAATGTTTAATACAATTAAATTATTTAGTTGATGTTGCTGAATGTCATCAGTCTCAACATATATACATTCGTTAATTGCTCTCATTAATATTCTTAAAAAATTTTTAATGATCCAAAACGTAAACATCACTTCAGAATGTTTGGAAAATCATCTTGTCTCAAAATAATATTAAAAAGTAATAAAATAATTATATTTTGATAATTATTTTTATATGATAATACATTTATCGTAATACAACTATAAGTCTGATTATCATGATCATCGATTCAGCATTTCACCATTTTATAACGAGATATTTGTATACATTGTTCTATTAACTATTGCAAGAATTAACAAGGGAAGTGCAATATCGTTAACATAAGGATATACAGTCATATCGTTAAAATCGAATACCGTTGGGAATACTTAATGAAAGTGATGACATCCTAGAATTCATCCCTGGTGGCCTGGGGGTATTTAGCAAGCACATTTAGTGAACAGTGTATCGATGCGAGATATGCCAAATACGCTTAAAGGCAGAGTTAAATAATTGTACAAGTTCTACTTAGCATATTTCAGGATATGAAAGAAGGAATCATCTAGGTCACTGTGCTATTATAAATTTTATTCCAACAGTTTCGAGAAACTCGCACTACTTTAAGTAATTTTTTTATAATCTATCAGATTCGGACTAGAAGAAGATAACGGTAATGCTAGCGTTGAAGATGGAAATTTACCGGGGAAAATTACAATCGATTAAATCTATACCTGACTATAATGTTAAATCAAGTATAACCTCTCGAGGCAATCAGACTTCATCGACAGCATGTACTAGATGGCAATCTTTAGTATGTTGACAGTATAAGGATTTACATCAATAGCTGATATAGATGCAGCAGATGCATAGTTTTGCTTTTCAATTGTATATATAACTGTACCGTTTTCCGGTCTCATAATGTTAGAAAGTTCATGGAAATGGCGAAAGCAAATTTGGTTAAACGTGACTTAAACCTCTGATTTAGTTTTGTTATATATTTATATATGTATATATTGACTAGTTTCCGACAACTAATATCTTCATGAGAATATCAATAAAGTGAAGTGCAGAACTTGCTGGGGTTGTCTCTTGAATTTTTACTTTTAACATTTACATTTTTCTTGAGAGTTGCAGCTGAATGCTTTAAAAATCATGAATCAGCTTATCAGCAGATATTAAGATTTCCACGATTATTTATTGAAATACAATTACAGTTGGTCAATAATAATACAAGGATTGAATAATTTATCTATTTTAATACACTGATTATTTCTGCAGAACTGTACCAAATTAATTATTCAAGATTCACTTGAATTAAAAGTTTTCTACAAACTAATGAATATCTTATAGCAGATTACAAGTATCCAGTCTATTGAGAATAATGAATTTGTTTAAAAACAAAAATTATTAAACATTCTGTAGAATTAAGTTATCACCGATTGTCGAAAAATATTAGTCATTTGCTGGACTCAGCAATAGACTGATATTGCATCACAACTGGTTTTGAAATATTCATGAAAACGTTTCACCCCATCCTCCAAATGATAAATCCACCAAGTAGTATAGACGTTCGGCAGGTACATTCGGTGCCAGCTTCAAATTTATCATTGATCCATTAGTGGCTTGAGTTGGCTCACCATTATCATTTACAATTTTCTAAATACTCGAAGCTAATGATCATTTTCCATCCCTGTTATTAATAAATTAAACGATTTAACATAACTTTTTTTATAACTCCTAAAAATTATAATCATTATTTTCTTATACAAAAAATCATAAGCATAAAAAACTTATCTCGAAACATGTCGAGAGCGTAAATAAAAATAATTATCAGTTTTCTTTTGTTCTTTGTAGGTGGTCGTTATATTTCAAACTGCAGAATTACAGGAAAAATTGTATTTGAGATAATAGAGAATTCTAGTCTCTTATTTTCAACTGTGAAAATTAAAACTCGGTTATGTATCCAAAATGACAATTTTATTTTTATTTTTTTTTTTCATTTATTCATTTTTTTCAGTTCTAGCATTATTTTTTCTCTTGTTTCTGAATTAATAATGTTGTCACTGAAAATTGATCTAATATTTTCTGTCATACAATAATACATAAAAAAATACAATGTACGTAATTCTGGAGAATCTTTTTCTTTCCATTTCCGTCCCTCAGTATTTCTTTCCAAGTGTATTGCTATCCAACTAGAATTCTAAGAAGCTCTTCGTCAGCAATGGCTCAGAAGTCCGCCTCTTTGGTATATGAGATTCAGCATGGAATTGCGAAATCTCG